GGTTCCCACACCGTACCTGAGCAGCTCGCAGCGGTTGGGGTCCGTCTGGTCATAGATGGTTTTCTTGAGGATGCGGCTGAGGTGCAGGGGCAGCCAGCAGAGAGCAAAGATCACCACCAGGCAGAACACGGTCTTGGCCACCTCCCGGCGCTGCCAGACAGGGCAGGGGCAGGATGAGCATGGGGGAGCAGATCCCAAATCGTGGAATGGTTTGGATTGGGAGGAACCTTAAAGCTCGTCTCACCATGGGCAGGGACATTTCCCACCAGCCCAGGTTGCTCCTAGAGCCTGCACCGGGTCCAGGCTGCAGAAAGGGGCAGGAGAGCACAGCTCCACCTGGACAGACCCCTCCCCACCACTGCTGGGTGGCTCTGCTGGGATGGTGTTCCCTGGGACACGGGGCCTCCTCCATCCACCCAGCACACTGCTAAGGTGACAACCAGCTGGAGCTCCTCAGGGAATCATTCCCAAAGCATGGCAGGGGACAGTGAACTCTTCCCTGCACCCCCTGGCTGGGATTTGGCACATCCAGCCTTTGGTCCAGTGTGGTGTGGGCTGGGATAAATGACCAGGAGAGCTCTAATGAAGCCAGAAGGGTTTGGGGTCATCCTTAAGGCTGGTGTAATCCCTGCACCAATGTACCAAGATCCTCTGTGAGGCTCTGCCAGCTCATCCTGTCCTTCAGAGGGATGGGAAGTGTCCCCCCTCTGAGAGCACACCCTCCTCTTTGGGATACCAGCATTCCTCCCTGCTCTCTCACCCGTTTCATGTGGTCATTCAGAGCGATCCTCATCCCGTTCCTCTTGCTCAGCATCTCACAGGACATAAGGGTGTAGAAGATGCCCGTGCACACCAAGGGTAGGCAGAAATAGAAGCCAAAAAGCCACCAGTCCTTCACATCCCGGTAGAACTGTGGGGAAAGGGAGAGAGGGCAGCTGGAAATGGGGCCAGGGCAGCAAGGGGAACTTGGGAGGTGCACATGTACCCTCCTGGAGCGGGATTGGAATTAGGATTAGGGTAGGGATTGGAGTTGGGATGGGGATGCACAGGTACTCTCTTGAAGCAGGATTGGGATTGTGCCAGACAGACATCTTTTATGAAAAATCCTTTCCTTAGGATTTTTTCTCCTGAGAAGCTGAGAAGCCTTAGGAACAAAATGTCAACAATGGTTATCTGCTGCTGTGGAATGCAACAGGTGCATCTGTGATTGGTCTCATGTGGTTGTTTCTAATTAATGGCCAATCACAGTCAGCTGGCTCGGACTCTGGTCAGACACAAGCTTTCGTTATCACTCCTTTCTTTTTCTATTCTTAGCCAGCCTTCTGATGAAATCCTTTCTTCTATCCTTTTAGTATAGTTTTAATATAATATATACAATAAAATAATAAATCAGCCTTCTGAAACATGGAGTCAGATCCTCATCTCTTCCCTCATACTCAGACCCCTGTGAACACAGTCACAGGG